CAAATCCTCTCATTGATGCATCTTTATAGGTACTCACCCTGGTGTACCTGAATTTTCCATAGCTTCGCGATAAGATTGGCCCGAAACTCAAGCGCTAACTGATTAGATTAACCATTAAATTATAATACCAATAATGCTGATTATTGGTTTATTTATATATGACCCCCGATAATTGTCAAAGCATGATGCGGTCTAAATATATTTCGAGACAATACGTCAATCCCGTTGTCAGTCAGGGTTAATTTTGGAACATCTTAATTTGCAATGATGAACTCGGGAATTTGACTCGAACTCTTTCGACTTTCGCATGGCGTGCAGCAAACCCGGCTGGAGTCCCCATTAAACCCGTTCCGTGTGCCATGCAAATATCCAAACAAAGTCACCTGTCTCTCCATTGCCTCGTTATAACTGACCATAGCAATAAAGGCCATTTAGAGCGGCCCCTGACGCCCAAAACAACTAAACTGAAAAGCAGGCAGCCAGCAAGTTGGCTAGAAATGAAGACGGCGCGAAAGAAGAAAGCAAACTGGGTTAAATTCCATTCAAAAGCCGGCTCAGAGAGCTCTCAGCTCTTAGCTCCCAGTTCCCAGCTCCCCAGCTCCCCAGCTGGTTCTCTTTTCTCTACGCTTTGGCCAGAATGGCCAGAAAAGTTGGTGGCAGTAACACCTCTCTCGCCTAATATTTGTCTTACATGGTTTTAGCCGACATTTGTCGTGCGTATTTCTGGGTTCGCACAGCGGCGTGAAAAACGCGCCCCGCCGGAGTGTGCCAGAACACGTTTTGGCCAGACTCTGTCGTCTCTCCTCCTCTTACTGCTGACATTGTACCGCTAACTGGTGTTGCCCCAACATGCTGCCGTGTGAAAGATGATTGACCAGGCTGGCGGGTTGGCTCTTCGGTGAATGAAGAAAAAAACCCAACTGTAAATCGCATTAAGTATTTGTTAACCAGCAAAACGAAACGCAGCAGCAGCAGCAGCCGCGTGGAAATAGCTGAAATATTTTCACCGATCACCAATCAGCGATCAGCCAAAAGGCAGCAGCCGGTGCAATATCGAGTCCCCAGATCGAATGTCACACGTGTGCCCCACGCCGCGTCCGTTTTGAGGTTGAAACGCGTTTTTTTGGCCAGCAAATACATGTAACAGCCTGGCCCCAACCGAGCGGGTTTTTCCGCTGCTTACAGTTTGCATTTTTTTTCGTACACTAACCCAAAGGGGGGTATTTTAATTACAGTCAACGATTTGATAAGGAAGATACATTGTCAATTGTTATATAGTCTTAGTTGCTATGTTGTATAAGTTATCAAAACTTGACATAGAAATATATTAACTACAATTCCAATTCTTCTTGCTTTAAACCTAGAATGAACTTGGAACCTACTTGGTATATATATCTTAGTAATTATCCTGTAAGGGTATTCCATATTCAATAAAACAAATCAGCTTCCTTTCTCAATTTTTGCCGGCTGAAATGTCAGTGTGAGGCTCTCGCTTCAAGTGGACAACGACGCCGACTACGACTGGTTTTTGGCCAAAAGCCTGGCCTTTTGGTCAAAAAGGATGTTTTTTGTTTTTTTTTTTTTATTCGGCGATGGTGGTGCGGCAACTTTCGTTGTTGTTTTGTTTCCGCAACCGCCACCATTTTATTGCTGTTATTTTCATTTTTTGTGCCTTGCAACTGAAAGTGAAAATACGAGTATTTACGGCTAAAAGCTGGAGATTTGTTTGCATGCAGAGATGCTGCCTGATGCCTGTTGACATAACCATCGATGCCTCTCAGCTGGCCAAATGAAACTGGTTAAGTAATAATGATTTGATGTGTTTCATTTGAATGCGCAGAATGATCTCTCTCTTGCACTTCCTTCCCCTGTGTTGACAGTTTTTCCGGGCGAAACTTCTTGGCTTTGAGCTTCTGCGCATTATTTAAAGTGTAAACGAAAATTTAAAAGCCTTTCCATGCTTTTAAAATAAGCAAACAGAACAAAGAAGTTCATAATGGTTCAACTGTGTATTTGTGGCTCATAAACATATATATATTCTTCATAAGTAATTTCTTGTTTACGTTGGCCGATTGTTTATCAATCGTTTGAATTTGGGGTCAAATTAATAGATGGAACGTGGAAGGTGTGAATTGATGGGAGAGTGTGGAGGGAATCTGGGATTTTTCTAAGCCATTTGAAAAGCTTTTTAGAACCTACTACTCTTTACTCTGACCACTTTCCCACACACGACGATCTATCTGGCTTCGACGTCTCTTTCACTTTGGACACCTTTGTTTTTCGGATTTCACCGGTAATTGATTATTTTGGAAGCCCATCGATGCCGCCGGTTGGTGTGTTGCATGTGTCCATTTTGTGGCGGCAATTCTTTTCTCACGTCAATGCCGGCCTAAACGCTTTTCAATAAGAGCTAGCACGGCGGCCCCTTTGAGTCTTTGAAGCCGCCTCAACCGCCGAGCGAAAGATCAATCCACACCAGACTCCTCTGTCTGGATGCAGCAGTGAGTTCTCTTTTGGCACAGATGCTGCAGTCTAGGAACCGTGGACGTGCCACATTTTGGTCCAATGGAGAGTCAGTCGGAACACTCGCTTTGTCCGCTGCACGAACGTTCCGACGATTCGAACATTTTTGGTTAAATACACACGTAGCCGGCTTGCAGTTTGCTGGAACTGCCTCTTTTCATCTGCAGCGCTCATTAAGCGCTTCTAAAGCATTCTAAAATGCATTTAATGGTTTAATTGTCCGGTCAAACACTCGACGGGGAGTGGTACCTATGTATGTACCTTTCATGGATGTCGAGGGTTTGGCTGTGACACTCTGTAAATCGGGAGGGATATACATTTAATGCAAATCAATTTGGCAAACACATAAAGCATTGTGTTGTTTGTTTTCTTTTTGAGGCATTAGTAGTCACGCACAACGCACAATTAATTTGGCAATTAAAGAGATACAGTGGGGCTTCTTTAAGTGAAGTGATGAGGAATTGCTGAACCCAAACCCAATAATTAAGTTGAAATTAGTTGTGTGAATCATCTGTGTTTTAACTGCAAAGAATTCTCATCATTAATGGAGAGATATATACATCAAATCTTTTAATTACCTTAAATAAGAACCTGTATCTTGGTTCACCTTAAGTGTAAATGGTTTTCCGTTAATCATAGTCTTTTTCAACTCCTTGTATCTTTAGCAGCCAAAGAAATGTCGTTCTACTTACAGAAGTTATACCGTAAAATCAATATGATGAATAGCAAATTTAAATGGGAACTTACCTTACTTCAATAAACTCTCGGGGTCTCTATCCGGCTGGGTGTGTCAGCATTATGCGGCGATTTGATTGCGGAAAACACACAACACACACATGAAATATTAAGTATAAGTATATTGAAAGCACTCTTTGAGTGGCAGATAAGCAAATGAGCGGCTGACATGAGGAGCTGTCCGAAAATAAAGTGACACCGAGCGGAAATCGAATTCTGAGCCGAGTTAAGAATCTTGGGGGGCACCTTCCTCCACTCCACTCTATTCGATTGTCAGACAACTCATGACTGCAGACCGCCGTGAATTGGACTTTGGCCGCGGGGCGTGAGCAAATAGCAAATAGCAACTGGCAACTGGCAATAGCAACTTCATAAATTTGTTAACACCGACGCAAAGGCAGCAGCACCAGGCAAAGGCTGGCCAACTGGCAGCCAGCACAAAGCCAAAATGAGCTAAAAGCGCAACAGGACAATAAAGAATGACAATGACTTGGTTACGACTCTTGGAACCCGACGGCGTCGTGTGTGTCACCCACGCACACGTGTCCCCAGGCCCCATTTCCATACCCAAACCCAAGCCCAAACCCATATACCGCCAGCATATCAACTTACTCACCCACCAGACCATGCTATATGGCGAGGATCTCGCCGGATCTTGGATCTCGGATCTCGGAGGAGACTTAATTTGCTGCCATTAGCAGAGAGCCGAGAAATTCGCGGTCGAGGAATAGAAGTGTCTGCTGTTTGTCTTCACTGCGGCATAAAAATAGAATAAAATACAAACTGGAGACGAGTTGAGCGCTGAACACAAGTTGCCATTGTCGTGGCTATGTACGTGTATGTCTTGCCAACCTCTCTTAGGGCTATTTATTTAAGTGAATTGTGAATAATGTTGTCTGGCGCCAAGTGGCAATCCCGGCTCAGACGGACTGTCCGTCGGTTTCCTCGTTTTAAACTGCAAAAAGACGCTGTTAAATCAAAAGGATGTTCTTAAGTCAGGACAATAAGAATAGCTAAATATTAACTGAGGAATTGAGTTTATACTGATATAGTTTGGGGGAGTATTAAAATACAAGTTAGCAGAGACAAAGCCACACTTAATTATAAAAGGGATTTATATCCTAAATCAAGTGTATATCTTTAATTCGTTGCTTTTATTTTTTTTTCCATGAGTACAGCACCTACGTGAAATTTTGCACAGACCTTCCGGCCTTAACCCTTAACCCCTTGGTGGGCAGACCCCATTCAAACCCAAACCAAACTCAAAGGCAAATTCAATTAACAATTTTAATTGTGATTGCAGACAGCTTTTCCCTCTAACAAACCATCGACCAGCTTCCAATTGGATTGAACCAAGCGCGCGCAGACAGACAGAGAGACAGACGGGTTTATTGATTTTTCATTTGGTCTGTACAAATCCATGGAAACCGCTTTGCCGGCTAGTCTCACTTGTTTCAATGCAATTATCCCGTCCCGTCTCTCAATATTATTTGCCTTGCAACTTTCCACGCGAACTTGACCCTGGAAAGCGATAAAAATAAACACAAAATATACCTGGTTTTAGTTAGTCAAGTGTCCTCCCAATTTACACGTACATAAGTCGCCTGGCCTGGTCTTGACTTGTCACGGAGGCAGCGGGCAGAACGATTTATGGATCTGCCAGTTACTATAGTTTCTATATATGTATAAATTCATGTTTTCTGATTTTGGCAATGTTTTGTTTTTTTTCTCAAATGTTCCAGGTCACACACAGATCCACCGGCGAGGTGATGGTGCTGAAGATGAATCAGTTGCGAGCCAATCGACCCAACATGCTGCGGGAGGTGCAATTACTTAACAAGCTCTCGCATGGGAACATATTGAGGTGAGTTGGGAAACTTATTTGAATATATATTACCAAGAATATTGCTTAAACCATTAGCAAGTAAACAAATGCATAAATGATGCAGCTCTCCAACTAATGGGTCAATGTCATATGTGGGGCTCTGTGAGTCATCATCCTTTGCATTTAATTGCAACTCGGATGCATGAAAGATTGTGACTCTGAATAAGCTATATGCTATATATATCGTGTATATATTATTCCCTTAGCTCTGGATGATGATCATGTGCTCGGCTTATGTGTTTACGCATTCAGTTCGCACCTCGCCGCGAATTGACCATTCATTATACATTTCGGTGGGATTACGTAAACAATTTTAATGGGTTCATCGCGCGGGGTCTCTTTATCTCGGATTCTACGCAAATAATGTTCATGTTTCTGTCTGTCAGATTCAATTCAGTTTCGCATATTTAACACACAATTTGTGTACTTGCTCTGGCATCATCAGAATAACTGACCTATGATAAAGCTAAAGCAATATTCATATGATTGTTCATATACATATAGTATATGATAGTATGGCATGATTCACCGAGGTCTGACACAAGTTCTGGCTTCTGACATCGTTATTATGAACTCAATTATTATTATTATTGTTATTATTATTGAAAGTAAACTTATTTAAGGCAATGTGCGTTGAACAAATATTAGCTATTTACCGAAACGAGATGGTTTGCTTTGTTTATTTGCCGTTCTTTTTATTTATTTCGTCTGACCGTTTACTTTTGGCATTTTTAAAGAGTTCCAGTTCGAGTTCGAGTTTGTGTTTGAGTGCGAGTTCAAGTCCAAACATACATTTCCGATGCCCGTGGCAGCCACCGACGAAAGGTCAAGTTCAGGAGCTGCTGCTGCTGTTGTAATTACCTTGGCAGTGACCAGGTGTGTTCGAGGGGCGGTGGACCCTCTCACGGGTCATACTGAAACTGCTGATGTAATTGCGAGGTCTGAAACAATGTGTCTGGGGGACGTACATAGACTACGACGACGACGACGACTTGATATAATTGCTAAGCTGCGTAGCTTACTCACTTCACTGGTTTGCTATTTTTCGGATTTATTTGTGTCTTTTCGTGATTCGCTTGCCTCATCCTCACGTGATGGCACGCAACAGCGTGAAGCGACTTCAATTGTATTGCATTTCCCAGGGACTTTTAATTTTTTTTTTTTTTTTTGCTAGTTTCTATTTTAGCCAGTTTTTCCCCCTTCCAGAGTAAGCCAGACAGCCCAATCCACCTTGCTACGCCCATCTTTTTCCTGCACTATTTCATGAATATGCAATCTCTGGCTGAGACCTTCTCTCTTTCTGGTCTCCGCCCTTTCATTTACAATGTTAACACCCCGAAATATGTCTTTTATTAGTTTTGCCATTCTTTGTAGCCTGCAGCCGTTCAAGCTTTAACCTCGTAATCCCACAGAGAATCCGCTATATCCCCTCCAAAGTCCAGAACTCACCTGACTTTTATGACGTCTGTCATCACACAGTCTCCGTGGCATTAAATGCAACGGATTCCGCTGATTAAATGCCCTGGCCAACTCATTTCGCTCTGTGTGTTGTGTGTGCCCGGCTCGCCGAGAGATGGATTTGGGTCAGCGGAACGGCCAGGCACCAGAAATAACAAATAACAACCTCGCCGGCGACTGCAGCTGCCAACTTTTCTTTATTCGTGGGGGCATTAAATGAAAATTCTGAAAACAAAAAAAGAAAAACTCCAGAGTCCGGAATGCAGCTATGGCGCCAGCGGGTCGACTGGATACTGAATAGTGAAATTAAAATGCAGCCACACGCATATAGTTCTCTGTTTTATGGATACCTAGTTCGTATATAGCCAATTAATATCACACTGATTGAGAGTAATTATAAGAAAAGGATTTAATTATTGAAAAACAGAGACTTAGATAGATGCTCTTTCCCTCAGTGCATCCATATGGGAAGCTGTTTGCAGTGGGGGGAATAGTTCCACCCGATTGAACCCAGCGTAGATCCGTGATCCTCGATCCGCGATAGTGACTTTATCAGTGACGTGGATCGCTAAACACTCCACTCCCAGCTTGGCTAGATGACTGACGGGCAGACTGAATGACTGACTGACTGAATGACTGAGTGGCAGTTAGTTAGGCGCTGCTCTTGTTGGCGGGCATGTTTAATGATGCCTAACGATCGCGGCTGTCGGCTAACTGTCAAATTTTAACAGCTACACCGCTGGGCGTCCATGCGGGCCACTGCATCGCTGCACCACTGTTACCACCGCCTCCCATGGTGGTTCATAGCGCGCCCCATTGCCATCTCCGGCTGGCAGAGTCCGGCTAATGAAGCCTATTGATTGGCCGGGTACAGTTGCATCCTCCTCGCTTCGGAGAGGCAGGCACAGTGCCAGTGGAGCGTCAATAGAACTAATCTTGGGTTATTGAAACCGCCTTTCTAGCCGGCAGCATGCCGAGTGAGCCGGAGTTCCATATACATATGTTACATACATGTGTAGATATGTGCTATGTACGCCCACACCCAAATCAGTGACTTATTGCCCACGAAACTTAAACCGAAACTCACACACTCCCTGGCCAGGTTGGGTATAGTGCACTTTTTATGGGCTTATCACGCGCCCGCCGTAATGCGGAATGTCGCACAATGAGAACAGGCAGTCGGAAAAACATCCAGAGCTAGTAGTTCGCTCTGCCCTCCAGTGGGAAAAACGGTGGAGCATACAACCCAATCACCCACATGGCTGTCGCCGCTCCCAGGCCACCGACGACTTGACAGATAGTCCACTCCACTTACCTGGCACTGCTATACACTGCAGGGAATATTGGATAACTCGAGGAAAACTATTATTTATTTAAATATAATATTATAGATATAGTTAAAAACATGATAAATACTAATAAGAATAAGTATGGAGCCTTGTTGATATGTTAATGAAGTCTCTAGCTATGTATGTGCCAAAACATTCCTCGAAAGTCAGACACAAAAGTACTTCATCTGAAAATAAGGAAAATGTAAACAGCCATGATGATGGAGCGCCGTGTTCTCCACACTTTTTATTTTTTAATTTTTCCCTCTCTTTATTATTAACTCCACTTGTAAGTGCGGTGCATGGGGGTAAAGACAAACATGCTGCCGTTGGCTCAGAGCCATTTAAACGCTCATTTAACGCGACTAAGCCCGCGTAAGACATGTCACAGTTCTTGGCCCGACTCATTACGGGCACAAACAATGGCTGAAATTCCGCAAAAAGCGAGTGCTGCTGCTGTGCCGGCACTTGATCTGCCAGCGATGCTAAGCAGGTGATAAGTTGTGGGCAAATGTTGACAAATTGTTGGCATGCAAATGTGTGTTGTGTTGTGTGTGAGTGGTGGGTTAACGACTTCACTGAGGTGTTGCTGGAGCCAAACTCTCACGCTTTTAACCCCGTTTCTGGGATGAGGGTGGTGCAGTCATTGCAACACTGATAAACCCCAGCGTTGGCGTAAGGCAGCGTTGCAACTGAGGTCAGATTGCACTTAATTGAATGTGTCGATAGCCCATCGTTCGAACCACTCATCTTGTGATGAGTGAAGGTCGTTGTATACATACGGTATGAGTAAGTGTAGGGGTATATATATGCCTTTCAATATGTGATGTGCCTGCCACAAGCCGCCTTTTTCGACGTTGCCGCCGCCGCCGCCACACTGCACATATTGTTGTCTCGGCCATTATTTGTCTTGGCTTGATTTGTGTTTTGTGCCATCCGTCCGTGTTCCCCCTTGCCGTTCATAATATGCTTGCCAATAAACTGAAATTGTTGGCCTTGAGGCGAACGGCGGGCGCCCAGTGGCGCATTGTCTGTATCTGTATCTCTGGCTGCTGCTACTGCCTGTGGGGCTAATGAAAAGATTGCCGAGAATGAGCAGAAATCGTTGACAATTTAATGAGAATTTCATTGTGCTGAAGATGGGCCAAATTGGTCATTCATGAATCTGCAAATCCGCGCCTCTTCAACGTTTAATGGGGAATTTAGTTTGTGGCCAAATTGAGTCCTTCATTTCCAGTTGCTGCCGGTGGAGTTAGCAGAGTTTGACAAGTTGCAGCAGCAACATTGCAACGCCAAGAAGCCGAAAGAGAGCGTGTCATGATTGCGGCCACATAAACATTTCTTTTTATTGCCTAATGGATACACGACGACTGCCAGACTGCCAGACTGGTTGGCTACTACTCGTTTTGTGCTCTTTTATCAGCTGAGCTGATACAGCTCCGTGTCTGCTCACCTCGGCTTACAGCCAGCTCCTGACGATCGACGGTCGCTTGTCAATCGATACGTATGTACGTGTGTATGGGAGTATGCCGGGTATCAGTAATTGACGCTGCACCAAGAAAGCTAAATTGGGTTAATTTCTGATTGATGATCGGCAAACACAACATCATATGGCCTGGTAAAATGTCGCGAGCAATTTCATTAGGCTGCTTGCCGCTGCACTCACTCGCCCGAGAGATCAGGTTGTTCGATCTGGATTCAATCGAATTGACGTCAATGACTATTGCTATGGCTGATTTGCAGTGTTTACTCTGCATTTGTATCACGGATTTCGAGTGGCTAATTATAGTATGCAGGTGTTGGTTAAATTTAGATTGGAATACGGTTCATAATTGACCTATTTTTAGGGTTATTTCAAACATTCCAAAATTGAATAATCGAGATAAAAATAGTACAACAAATAGTTCAATATTGAAGAGTTTATTTTTAGTATCTCTGTGAACCTGAAACTATTAAATAAAGCATGGATAACGAAAGTAGGGAGAATAATCTTTTCTATTGTCAGAATTGTATGGTATTGGAGCTTTATTTTTCTCTCTGTATTCTTCTTATAGAAAACACTCAAAATTATGAATTCATAAAGCCTACAATTATCGATGCCTCATCTATGTATTCATGGGGGGTTTTTGTACTTTTTTCGCATATACACACGTATATCTATGTTTATATTCGAATTGCCAACTGACAAACTGAACTCACTGACCCAAAATTGGGGCGGGTGGCACTTTATTTACTATACTTTATATATGTATATTTTGGTAATGCTTTATGTCTCAACCAACAACAAAACCAAGAAAAAATGAAAAGAAAATCAAGTACAAAACACAACGCAGTGCGACGCACTGGCAAGTCATTGAACCCGCTGTTGTGCTCTGTTGTGTTACATTGTGATGTCTTTGTAAGTGCTAACACATGTAAGAAACAAAATCCGAATATAAAAAAGCGCAGAGCACTGAAGGATTGTACCGAAAATGTGAGTAATATGCGCGAGTATCTGACAGATGCACAGTGCCTCGGGACAGATGCAGATGCAGATACAGATACAGATTGGAATTTAATGAGCTGCATGGCATTCCATCCCGTTGTCAGTAGTTGCGTGTAACAAGTTTCTTGACAGCAATTACTCACTCAGGAGCTAACTGCATCAGTTGGGATTTATAGTTTGTATCGAAGCCATGGGATCGTGCGATATTTGTCCGCATAAATCGCACTTGGTAATTGTCAACTTCCGCATGAAAAAATATAAAGCCATAAAATATGGTAAACCATCGTGTGTGTGTGTGTCTGCTGTCCCATAAAGCATCTCTCACCCAACTGCCAAGTGGGGTGGCGGCTTTTGGCCAACATTCACTTCCAATTTGCGTTTGCGTTTGGCCATTGTCTCTGTTCGTTTCGTACGAAATTATGTCATCAACTTTCAATCAATTTCAATACACTTCAATCAATTTTGCACAACAAAAGAGCGCGTAGAGGAGCACATTAGATATTCAGATTTATGCAACACCCATACATGAGCTTTCTTTTTGCTTTTTTCGACTGCAGTAGCAGCATTTTCTGTTTTCCTTTTCTTTTTTTTTTTTTTTTTTTTTTTTGTTTTTGTGTTACACTCTTTTGGCTCGGAAATCGGGAAATCGCAATATCGGTCAGCGGCTGAAACAAGAAGAGGAAGCTGCTGCTGCTACAAGAGGCTGTAAGTTGCAGCTGCAATCTGCATAATTTTCGCATCACGTTTTGCATATTTTTCTAATTGAAAAGCAAATTCAATCATTTCATTTCGAAATGTTCGCTCTGTTGCTGCTCGACTGCCGAATGCCGAATGGTAATTGCAGTTGGCAGCGTTTAGGAGCGTTTATAACGCCCATTGCCACGCCCCCGCGGCCTGCTCCAGTGCCACCGTCTCGTTGGGTTGGGATTTGGGACTGGGTTGTGGGTCTGGGCCTGGTCTTGGGCCTGGCTTATTTGTTGTTTGCCTAAAAGCGAGATTTGTTTGCATTGTGTCAACCTTTTGAACCCCCCGAATCGTGCCGGCGTTTGCCGGTTTGCAATTTCAGTTGCAGTTTCCACTGAGATGTTGTGGTAATAATTTTCAATTAAGCGCCAAATGCTTTTATGCTCCAGTTTGATGTGGCAACAACAACCACAGCACAGTTGCAACACCCAACAACTTTTGCAAGTGAAAGAATTCCGAGCGGGACTTTGCATTTTATTAGCCCGGCCAGCGGCAGTTAGTAAGCTAAGCGGCTTTGGACGATGGATCCGTCTGCGCAAAGTCTGGGAAACCAATTGGCGCAGTCTCTCCATCTCCGCAAGAAACGTGCAAACGTGTCAATTTATGGTTTTCATTGCGACTTGCAAGAGAAATGCCGAATGCCGGCAACGGCAACGTTTTCCCGGGAAAACTGCTGTAATATGCTCGTAGCAAATACTGTAACACCCATAGCGAGCTCTGGACAAGACTACAAAGAACAACAAAAAACAAAAACGAAACGAAAAGAAATAGAAAACCTAAACTCCGCTAAGAACAATGCAAAAGACCAGCAAAAGGTTTATAGCCGCTTGAGTAGTTCCTCCAGCTTCCTGCTTGGTATGAAGAGTCCTCAACGATGCATTCGTTTCCTGCTGCTGGAGGATAGAGACGACACCTTTGCCTGGAGCTCCTGAAGCAACCAGTTAGTTCTCCCCGGTGTCAGTGAACCTCAAGAGAATAAGGCTTTGTTTACAGCTTTTGGATAATTAATAAATCTTATCGCGTTTCGAAAATAACATCATTTGCACCCCGAATGCAAAGTAAATTAATTGCCCAATTAGCAAAGTACTTTTCGTGCTTTTCGGTAGCAACTTTCATTTATTTTTTTTGGTGGCCTGCGGGTTTTGCAATAAAAAAGATCTTGTTTCCAAATTAAATCCTTTCTGTCAGCGCATCTCCAACCCAAAAAAAGTCGCATTCAGTTGAGAGTGCGGCTTGAAGCGCACATTAAAGGCGTTTACGGGCGGCAAAGCCGATTAATGTAAGCCGCTAATGGCCAGGAAAAGGGATCGGGAAAGGGGGCAAGCACTCGCTCGAGGCGCTAATCGTGCATCACGCAGGGAAATAAATTGAATTAGAACCGTAAATCCCAAAAAAATACAAAACCCTGCTCTCCTGCATGCAAATGGATGTGCTGCAGCCTGCACCCACGGTCACGAGCCGGGGTAGAAGGAGAAGCCTCGAAGCACCTGAGGTGTGTGTGTACTTGGGCTTGGGCTTGGGCTTGGGAGTAGGATGTGCCGCAGACGACGGCTTTCAACACCTGGAATCGAGGGTCTGCCGCCGTGGGTCTTGCGTCTTTTGTGATAACTTCATTTCACATCCGAGATGAGCCCCGAGCCCTTGGGCTGTCTGAAGGGCTGACATGTGTCTGCCACACACTGGCGTGGCATCTATCATGCATCTCAAAAGGGTCATGCCCTTCTGTCCAAGACATTTCCAATCTTGTTTTTTTTTTAGTTTGTGCACCGTAATAGTGTTTTGTTAACAGTCAATCTTGCCTGTGTTGGATTCTGTGGGTTTCTGAATAATCCAGAGATATAGTTGTAAGTAAAATTGTTTATTTAAACCACATAACGTTTAAATATGACCCCTTTCCTTGGTTATTCCTACCCCAACAAGAACTTTCTATGGCCAGGACTACCTTCCCTTAACCTGAGGCCAAAGTGTCCAAAGTTGATTGCCGCATTGCCGGTGGTGTACCCAACGACTGGTTTCAATTAAGCTGATTTGCATTGAAGGGTGAGGGCACTGATTATATCTGGCTGCTGTGATTCCTGACGCCGCATATCACGCAAGTCAATAAACCCCGGCGGAAGGCGATGCAACAGGTGGTCCTGGCCGGGGCCAACCCCTTTTTCAGGTCGTGTGTTAATGCGCCGAGACCCCTGAGTAATAATAATGGGAACAAGCACATGACTGGCTGGCTGGGGTGAGAGCTGGAGGTTGGGTGTGGTGGTGGCCATAACATTTGATTGCCCTGACGCACCCCCGGAGACGACCAGCCCTGTCGAGGCTTCATTGACAGGCGGAGTGAAAGGTGTCCGGGGCGACAGGTTGCGTGCTTAAAGCAATTATTTCCACTGCTCGGCGTTTGCGAAATGTATTAAGGACTTGATGCGCTGCGGTTAACCTAATGAAATTAATTTTTACTATAAGTGAAAATTAATGGCCTAATCGGCCATCTGTGCTAACATAAGTCAAAGTTGACAAACGCCACTTGCCACTTGACTTCTTCTCGTTCCGCTTATACAATAGTTCAAAACCGCTAAACTGCATGACGAGCAATAGATAAAGCTTATCTGCCACACGACGACGACGTACCACAGTTTCGGCCAATTTGGCAAACGCTTTGGGCCATGGCTTTAACCGGGCACTGGCCGGCATATGGAGCATGTGCGCGAGATAACTCCAATCGTCCGATTAGGCCAGTGCGAAGAGAACGCTTATCAAAAAAGGCATTGGTATTGAACACCTGCACGGGACCTGAGTCACATGCGTCAATCGGTTGCGAATAGCTTCTATATCTACATATATATTACCCTAAATAGGCGCCATAATATAAAGAAAATTTCCCGTTTTCACTTAAAACTACATAATCTATACAAGTTCTTTCTTCACCGATGTATTTCTTAGTCTTTTTGGAACATTTCCTGAGGACAAGACAAGTTTTGTTTCTGTATGAAATCCCCAGGATGTTGCAGCCATAGGCATAGTAACACGCAGAGTTCATTGTCACCTCAAAGCAACGTCTGGCAGTCGTTGTTAACCTTCTTTACCTGACTGCACACACTTCCCATGTTGGCGGGAGAAGGAGTTTTACCCTAGGCAGACGCATACTTTGCCATTTTCTTAATAAGCTTACAGTTCCGGTTCCCAAGCCTGGTGACCTCACCTTGTCCTGTCGCGCTTCCCCCAGCCTGACACAGGAGAGTAACTGCTGGCTGAGCCTCTTAGCATAGGCTTGAGAGATAGAGTCATTGACATTGTCGTCTGAGTAGGAAGTGGAGATGATGAGGGCTTAGGAATTGGCTCCTTTGTCCCTCAAGTCCTGGGGGACGCCACTCGCAACGGTCTGGACCTGACCAGTAGTCAAGGGAAAACTTTCTCTTTTTATTGCGTGCTCCCCTGGCGCATCGGGGGCATCATCGAATTGCTAATTTATTTTGCAGCGAATCAAGGCTGAAACAATGCTAACCAAGACCCAGTCGATGGGGGGTGGCTGATTGCATGTCGACTGGCGATAAGCCAGGTGGAATCGTGGGGGATCGGTACATCGGTGCATCGGGGAGTTGCAGTGCCTGTCAAGCTGGGTGATTGAAAGTGAAACTTATTCGGGCCAGGGCGTTTACTTTGTTTCGATGCAATGGAAAACTTGTGCTAACCGTCCGTATTCCTTCCTCTCCCCCCATTCCAGCTTTATGGGCGTCTGTGTGCAGGAGGGCCAACTGCATGCCCTCACCGAGTACATCAATGGCGGCTCCCTGGAGCAGCTGCTGGCCAACAAGGAGGTGGTGCTCAGCGCCACACAGAAGATAAGACTGGCGCTGGGTATAGCGCGTGGCATGGCCTACGTCCACGACGCCGGCATCTTCCACAGGGATCTGACGAGCAAGGTGAGTACTTTTGGGCGAACCTTTCCAGTTCCAAACTAATTGCCATTCTCTCTTCAGAATGTACTTATTCGCAATCTGGCCAACGATCAGTATGAAGCCGTTGTGGGTGACTTTGGCCTTGCTGCAAACATACCCGACAAAACGTAAGTGGATCCTTGTTTCCATAAAAGAAACATAAGCCTCATTAATTTCATATTCCCCATTTGCAGGAGAAAATCACGGCTCGAGACCGTCGGTTCACCGTACTGGGTCAGTCCGGAGTGCCTGAAGGGCCAGTGGTATGACCAGACGAGCGACGTCTTCTCTTTTGGCATCATCCAGTGCGAGATCATTGCCAGGATCGAAGCGGATCCGGACTTAATGCCGCGCACTGCGTCATTTGGGCTGGACTATCTGGCCTTTGTCGAGCTGTGTCCCATGGATACACCACCCGTGTTTCTCCGTCTGGCCTTCTACTGCTGCCTGGTAAGTGTATCATCATGTCTTCAGCTTGACTGTTATCTAATCCTAATCCTCTGCCTCGCTTACAGTACGACTCAAAGAGCCGGCCCACTTTCCATGATGCCACCAAAAAGCTAACGCTGCTGCTGGAGAAGTACGAGCACGAGTCCTCGGCAGGAGCGAGCCCACTTAGCTCCCTGGAGCTGATCAACTGCTCCCCGGTAGGCAGCGATTCGGAAAATGCTACGGGATTGGTTACGCCCCGAACTTCTACGGCGCCCACAGTGGCCACCATTTGCACGGCCCCGGCAGGCACTTTGACACCGCGACACCTGCGTGAGGTAGACGAGGAAGGTTTTCGCTTCCCCAGCAAAAAATGCGCCTCGGCTGCATTGCCAGGAACACCCAACGGATCCGCCGGTAGCAGTGGCTTCGACGATCACATACAGCAATCGCGGGTTCGACGCGCCACCCAAAAACTGGAGGCCGAGATCCTGCTGCACCGTCGTTCTCTGAGCGAGAACATCATACATTTTCCCATGCACACGTCGCCCAGCGACAAGGCACGATGTCATCAGATGCAGCGCCAGCGCTCCTCCACGCACTCCCCAACGCCTCCCAGGCAGCTGGCTTCGGTTCAGTTACCCGCCACGGCAATTCCGGAACCCCCGCCCCTCCCCAAACCAATTCCCGCAGTGCTTACACTGCGAAAAGTGGGCGAGACGATGTGCTTAAAGGATCCGCAGTACAAGCCGACGTCTGGGAAGGATCACAATGGCTCGAAACCAAATCCGTTCGAAGCGCTGGCACAGCTTCGGGGCGTCAAGAAGATCCTGGACGCCAATCCAAAGACCTATGCAGCAGGCGTTGGGGATCTGTTCAGCTCTTGCTTTGAGACGTTGGCACCGTTCTTTAAGGAACTGGCCGCTATGCAGAGCAAGGCGGCGGTCCAGGGAGGAGCAGGTGGAGAAAATACGGCGGATGACGCAGCGACCAATGCGGCAGCCACGGCCACAGCAGCTGTGCCCAGTGAACCAAAGAGCCTGCCGGTCTCGCCGCATCTGACGCGAAAGTACAGCGCCATAGAGCTGCGCCTACCCCAGCGGATCAGCAATGCTGCTCCGGCGAGCTGCACCATTAATCCGCCAGCAGCAGAAGCACTGCTGCAAGATGAGGACGACTGCGATGACTGCAACTCGGAAGGTGAGGATCCAGATGGCGGTGGGAACTGTGCAGATGCAGAGTCCAGCAGCGATGACAGCGCCGTGCGTCCCTCCACCGTGCCAACCGTCCGCAAATACAGAGCCAATTCCTTGTACACGCATCCGCTCTTTCGAGGCTCCAGTGGCACCAGTAGCTTGAAGAGCGCCAGTACCGGGGAGTTCGAAAGTCCGGCTCTGCTGAAGGCCAGCGCATCGACAATTACGTTGACGGCCTCCACAGCGGGTGCATCCAATTCCTGTGAGGATCTGACTGACAGCGCCAAAAAATTCAAAGAACAAGCTAATTCCAGTGCAACAGCAGCGGCCACAGTGGCCGTGGTGTCACCTACTCCCCTGTCAGGCTGTTCAGTGCGGCTGGCAGAGACCCCGGCCTCCGTATCCTCTTGCACGGATCTGGAACTGGACGAAGTGAAGAACACCTGCGATTTGAGCGAGCTAAAAAACTCTTGCGAGCAGCTGCCCCTGAAGGCGAACCTCACGCGACGCGACTCCATCGAGAGCGGCTTCTTCTCGTGCTTCAACGAGGAGTCGGATGCGGCGATAACCAACAGCAGTTTTGGCCGCCAGTTGAATGGGATGGGCTCGTTGGGGTTTGGCTGCGGCGGCGGGGGCAGCAATAGCAGTAATTGTTGCTACGAACAGTTGAAGGCGCAGCTGTTGCTCGACACAGGGGGCAGCGCCAGCAGTGAACTCAAGTAAGTAGAGTAGAGCTTTAAACAGACAATATAATTCCCAACAATCATAACATTGTCAAGAAAAACCAACCTGCATTGTCCTTTTGTAAATCGATTAGAAAACTTTGTGTATAAAACGTAGCATTAGACTAAACTCTTGTCTTGAAACGATGAGTGAAATAATTACCAAATATTCAGGTTAACCGCCACCTTGGGCCGTGCCATACATATTGATCCCTAAACGCCAAAAACTATGTAAGTGATTTCCATGATTAATCAAAACTACCTTTAAAGGCAGATACTTTCCTTTACGATTTGATAGTCAATTGAACTATAAAATAATAAAAATAAGACCCACCCGAAAAACTACTTTATTACTTACCTGATTATCTCTTACTGACTAAGATCTCCTTTTCTTTCAGTGATAAACTTGCGAGTCTGTGTCGCTGCTGCTACTACGCCACCTCCACATCGAATGCCGCTGTTACTGCTGCCGCTGCAGCTGCAGCGGCCCAACATCAACAGCAAAGTCATCTGCTCAACGACACCACCTCGACGACGTCATCATCAGTGCTGCTAATTGACACCGATCCGGCGGTGATTGGGGGCAACACCTCATCGTCCACAGCTCTGGATTCGATGGACGACCTAGACGCCGAGATTGTGGCTTCGCGGCCAACACACCAGCGACGGTACACCTGCCACCATGCCCTGCTTAGCGGAAACGGCAGCGATCCCCAGATGACCGCCACGGCGGGCCTGATCAATCGATTGGCCCTGGACTCGGAGATTCACACGATGTTGCAACGCCATCCGTTTGCAACGAACCAGCTCCTGTACTGCAAGAATCGCACCTCGTCCATCTACACTGACAGTTCCGATGACATCAGCAGCCTGGCTGGCTCCGATTCTCTCCTTTGGGATGAGCGCTCCTTCACGGCGCTGCCTAGCACACGTTCGGCGCAGATAGCCAAGATTGTGGAGTATTTTGAACGGAAGCGGCAGGACTCCTCGCCGCCATCGATGCACCATAGGAACGGCAATGGTACTGTGGCTGCTGCCGTGGCTGCCTCGGCGCTAGGATCCAACTACCTCTCATACGAGGCGCGACGCTACTCGGACTTTAAGCGCCACCTAAATACGGATGCCCTGTGCTTTGATCTGGACAAGAAGCCGGCTCAGCAAAGGATGATGGTGTGCGAGGGTGCCGTCAAATCGAAGCTTCCCATTTTTGATAAAAAGAAACAGCATCAGGGCGGGTAGAGGCGATCCAGTTAAGGGAAGACCACACGGAATTCTGAATTAATAATTTTCTGTTCAATGCCGCGGCGACTTTGTTAGATTCTGTAAATTTTGTACCCTTATATCCTTCACTGCGAACGGCAGCCCCTGATAGGTGTGAATGAAGATGTAATGGCGAAAACGATTGCCCAAAAATTGTGTTAGTTAGCATATAAACGACAAGTGTACTTTAGTTTATATTTATTTCCTTACTGTCAATGTGTATAGGGCGCAATTGCAAATAAGCCAAAACTGTTCTACTAAAAATTAAGCATGCCCATTTAGCCATAAGAGAAACCCATTTGTTTGTATCGTGTCCAATTATCATTTAAATGCAAATGCATATACGAAACATAATCATATGTCGTACTGGTTCCTAGTCCCTAAACTGTACATCGCTAGAAACATACTATGCTAAATTAGTGAGTATGCTGGAGTAATACCGATCGTGGAAAGTATTTATTCTAATTATTTAAACCTGTCAATGGTATACTCCTATGGAAATGGCATAGCTATTCATTACGATAAATTTATACATACGATTACCGCTCTATTTATTTGATTTTGTCCAAACGCTGTATTAAATTAATATATTTAAATTAAAATACAAATATACACATATACATATATACATAATATACATAAAATGGCATATTGCAATACATACATTTTACCTGTAGCAATTACCTTATAAGGTTACATATTTAGACTTATCCACTTGAGGTTGTAAGACTTAAAACCCCAGCATCTCTGCTTCCCCTATGAAAATTGTACAGACGGTTCCGGAACGAACACCCCGCTATCATATTGGCCAATCCCAGTGGGCTTAGTTACGGCATAGGACACTAGTTTAGTTCCTTAATTTACAAAACATGTGTTTCTCTTCATTACAAATAAATACATTTGTATACAAACATACGTCAGAGCCAGCCGATCGCTGATCAATTGGAAATTTTATAAAGAGTGTATTATGATTCGACTTATTTCTGTTTTACTTGATGGACTTTGGCTGCAATTAGACTTCAATTACAACACATATTGCAAAGAGCAAGGCGAAGACTGAGACACCGTTTTTCAATTGGCTAGTAGTTTTCATTAAACTAACGTTAGGACTAAATATACATACACATATTATATGGTTGGAGAATCATTAGGAGTATCTTACTTTACCAACGTAGCGAAACTGTTCAACAGAAGCAATTGATTAGGATGAAGCAGATTTATGTGGCAGCTGTAAATAAAGTACGGTGTGTACATACGATCCAGCAGTATAAGTAGCTGATATTGTTGAGATTTATAAGAAGTCGTCCATTCGATTATAACACACAACCTCATCATCACATCGTCTTGTTAAATGGGGCTCTGAGCAAAGCCAAAACATTAGAGAATCATGAATTTAAAATTCACTTCCGGTTGCCAATCAAACATTTTAATGCACTTACTAACCTAGGTCGAACATGAGCATAAGTATTATATTATATATATTATTATCAACATTGAAATCACAGTCCATCCCAGACAAACATATGAACGAAATCAGTTTCGGTTTTTAATTGTCACAAAATCGAAAAGCGAAAACAAATAATTTTGTAAAACTGAATTGTACTCGTTTAATAAACATAATGATATATAGAAAAAGCCTTTAAATATGAAGAATGTAATGGGTAAAATACTACAAATTGAAAAGTAAGTATGTACATTTCATATGCGACATTGAAGTCAAGAACAGCCTAAAAGAATGCAATATTTATTTGATAAACCAGAACCATTTTACGCTGTGAAGGAATCAGTTCCGACCCTACAAACCATATACATATATTCTTGATCAGCATCGACAGCTCAGTCGTTCTAGCCATGTTCTGGTAAAATAAAAATAAAAATAAAAATAAATTGTAGACATTTTTCCGAAAATTGAAAATTTATTAAGGGGTTACATCATTAAAATTGCCAAATTTTGACAAAAAAATTAATTTATTAATTTGAAAACTGCACTAAAAATATCATAGAACAGCTCTCCGAATTAAAATGTAACGATTTTTTGGCTTAGTTATGAGTTTTTTAGGAAAAATTGTCTATTTTTTACCTTTTTGCAGGTTTTTATTATTTTGGTTAAAAACTGACAATATCATCAACAAACACAGTATGCAGATTTGTTAGTGCTATAAAAAGTTGCATAGAAAAGCTTTCCGAATTAAAATTAATGCTATTTTGGCTTAATTATGATGTTTGAAAAACTTTAAAATTTAGTAAAAATTGCCTGTTTTTATACCATTTTGCAGGAATTTAGTATTAATCTGAAGCTTATATATATTTATTGGCAATCAAAATAAAGATCAATAAAGAATTAAACATTTTAAAAAATTGATTCGACAAAATATTTAACTGTAAGAAATAACAAATCCAACAACAAAAAGAAAATCCAATTTGGCGAATTCTCCATACAAATTTCTTAAATTCTTGGTTTTGTGTACCAGGCAAACAGGAAGCTCCGCAAGCAGTTATTCAGCTGATTAAAAAGTTCTTAAATAACGGATCTTAAAAGAGAGGAACTTTAAGAACCTCCTCTGATTGGTCAGTTCAAAGGCAAACAAAGGGCGGCCATTAGGTTAAATTCAAATGTAAACAAAGTGCGGCCATTAAAAAGTCCTGAAGTAACGGATCTTCAAAGAGGTGAACGAGAAGAACCTCTCTGATTGGTCAATTCAAACGTAAACAAAGGGCGGCCATTAAGAAAGCTGAAAAGATCCGTTATAAACAGCTCGTGCTGTTGTGCTGCTGGGTTGCTGCTGCCCTCTGTTTCTGTTTGCCTGGTTGAATTAGTCTGACTACAGCCCATTTTTGGAAGAAATAACAACAAATCCAACAACACACGTAGCTGAAATAGCGAAATTCGCTATTCAACTCGTGCCTCTATGTACCAGGCAAACAGAACGTTCAGCAAGCAGCTGATCCGCTGATACAAATGTCATAAAATAACGGATCTTCAAAGAGAGGAACGTGAAGAAACTCTCTCTAATTGGTCAATTCAAATGTAAACAAAGGGCGGCCATTAGATTAAATTCAAATGTAAACAAAGGGCGGCCATTAAAGTTCTAGAGTAACCTCTCTGATTGGTCAATTCAAACGTAAACAAAGGGAGCCATTAGGAAAGTTGAAAAGATCCGTTATAATCAGCACGTGCTGTTGGGCTTCTGCTGATTTGCTGCCAGCTGTTTCTGTTTGCCTGGTATAATTATTAAATTTGTCTGCTTAAACAACACCGAGCCGGGGCTGGGCAGATGTGCTTGTTTCGTTCGTACCAGGATCGGCGGAGCACCTTGCCAGCGTGCGTCTCCTCTTTTTCGACAGAGGCATCGCTGATAATGCGCACATCGTCGTGGACGTCGACCTGGAAGAGCGGACCGGACTTACCGCGGGCCTTAGTCACAATAAAGGCGTCAAAGGAGTAATGGTGCGGCAGTACCAGGTCCTCCTTGACATACATCAGCTGGTCGGCCATCACGGTCTTCAGTTCGATAAACTCCTTGCGCAGCAACTCAAGGCACTTTTGCAGGAACTGGTAGATAGAGTTTCCCTTCTTCATCAGTACGCTGCGCCGATGGTCTGATCCGCCTTTGACAAGAAATTTTTTAATTTAAAAACTGAGTATGCAGCTTTGTTAATCTTCTTAAAAGTAGCATAGAACAGCTTTCCACATTATAATTAATGATTTTTTGGCTTAGTTATGGGTTTTTATACCTTTTTGCGGGGTTTTTATAATTATAGTCAGAAATGTATAACAGCATCAACAAACGCAGTATGCAGTTTTCCGAATCAAAATTAATGCTATTTTGGCTTAATTATGATGTTTGGAAAACTCCGATTATTTAAGAAAATTGTCTGTTTTTATGCCTCTTTTCGGAGTATAGCTTCAATTAGAAGATTAAAACGCAGTGAAGGAATCATTTCCGACCCTATAAACCATATATATTCTTGATGAGCATCAACAGCCCAGTCGTTCTAGCCATGTCTGGTCAAGAAATAAATTTTCGCCATTTTTCCGAAAATTGAAAATTTTATAAGGGGTTACATCATTAAAATTGCCAAAATTTGACAAAAAATTGAATTTTGTATATTTAAAAACTGAGTATGCAGCATTGTTAATCTACTAAAAAATAGCATAGAACAGCTTTCCGAATTAAAATTAATGATTTTTTGGCTTAGTTATGAGTTTTTTAAAACTATGATTTTTGGGAAAAATTGTCTGTTTTTATACCTTTTTGCGGGGTTTTTAAATTATAGTCAGAAACTTATAACAGCATCAACAAACGCAGTATGCAGATTTGTTAGTGCTATAAAAAGTTGCACAGAAAAGTTTTCCGAATCAAAATTAATGCTATTTTGGCTTAATTATGATGTTTGGAAAACTCGGATTATTTAAGAAAATTGTCTGTTTTTATGCCTTTTTTCGGAGTATAGCTTCAATTAGAAGATTAAAACGCAGTGAAGGAATCATTTCCGACTCTATAAACCATATATATTCTTGATCAGCATCAACAGCCCGGTCGTTCTAGCCATGTCTGGTCAAAAAATAAATTTTCGACATTTTTCCGAAAATTGAAAATTTTATAAGGGGTTACATCATTAAAATTGCCAAAATTTGACAAAAAATTGAATTTTGTATATTTAAAAACTGAGTATGCAGCTTTGTTAATCTACTAAAAAATAGCATAGAACAGCTTTCCGAATTAAAATTAATGATTTTTTGGCTTAGTTATGAGTTTTTTAAAACTATGATTTTTGGGAAAAATTGTTTATTTTTATACCTTTTTGCGGGGTTTTTATAATTATAGTCAGAAACTTATAACAGCATCAACAAACGCAGTATGCAGATTTGTTAGTGCTATAAAAGTTGCACAGAAAAGTATTCCGAAACAAATTAATGCTATTTTGGCTTAATTATGATGTTTGGAAAACTCCGATTATTTAAGAAAATTGTCTGTTTTTATGCCTCTTTTCGGAGTATAGCTTCAATTAGAAGATTAAAACGCAATGAAGGAATCATTTCCGACCCTATAAACCATATATATTCTTGATGAGCATCAACAGCCCAGTCGTTCTAGCCATGTCTGGTCAAGAAATAAATTTTCGCCATTTTTCCGAAAATTGAAAATTTTATAAGGGGTTACATCATTAAAATTGCCAAAATTTGAC